GCCTAGGGCGGCCGGTCCAAGGCGGAAACATGTCCGCTCCGCGCCAAGGGGAGAGTAGGCCGGCTCCTCACCCGGAAGTGCCTCCTGCCGGCCCCTCACCCGGAAGTGCCTCCTGTGGCCTCCCCGTGTGCGGGCCCAGCGAGTTGGTAGTCCTGCCACGCCCTCCGGTGGAGGCCCCACTCTCTGGTAGGGAGGCGACCCCGTCCGTCGGTCGGAAGCGGGCGAGGCGTCCCCGAACCCCGGGTCTTCACTGAACTTGCGAGCGCGGGCGTGTCCGCGCTGGGAGAGGAGTCTGGGCAGGTTTCGAGTTCTTTAGTGGAAAGGCAAGATGGGCGGGCCCCTCACGCCCAGGGAATCTGCCAAACTCATCGCAGAAAGCAGTCGGGATGTGTTCGTGGATGGCGCGGGCGTGCGGCGCGTGGCCGAGCTGCTGCTCCCGCAGGCCTGCGGGCCGGAGCTGCAGGTGCAGGCATGGAAGGCCCTCCACGAGCTGAACCCCCAGGCGGCCGACGAGGCCGCCGTCAACTGGGTGTTCCTCACAGACACGCTGAACTTCTCCTTCTGGTCGGAGAGCGACGAGCGCAGGTGTCTGGTGGGCTACAAAGGGAAAATGTACAGCGGATTCTGGTCGCTGTGCGCCGCAGTCAACCGAGCCCTCGACGAAGGTTGGTGCAGGCGCTCGCCGTCGAAAGTTTCCGTTTCCTGGGGTCTCCAGGAGGGTCTGGGGGCCGGGGGGTGGTGGGGTGGTGGTGGTGGTGGTGTGTGTGTGTGTGTGTGTGTGTGTGATACACTATATGCCATGTATTATTAATAAGGCAAACCCGAAGCTTTTCATTGCCAGCTCCTTGGCTTAAATGAAAGGTGCCAGAAGAGGCTGACATGAAATCCTTCGTCGAAATGAACCTAATATTTAAGTCCGCTAAATGAACCCTAGCTAGGATTTAAATGATTCTAGTTATTTAAGCCTAAAAGTCCGCTTTCCTAAAGAGGTCCCTTTGATGATGATGCCGAAAGAATAAAGCGGTAAATATTAGGAAACACTTTACGTAATTAAAACTCATCGGATGCAATATCAACAGTTGTTGAGTACAGACAGAAAATGAAAGTTCTGATTTTAAGTTTAAGGGTCGAATGAATATATAAGAATGAACTTTTTTTTTTGTTCCCCAAAGGGGTACCAATCACTAGTGCCACCTACTATGCCACAGTGACCTTGGGGCAGGTTCATCATATATTCCGATCTGACACAGATGTTCCCATGCCTTTGATCGAAGAGAGGCATCAGATTCTCAATGAAACCGGGAAAATTCTACTTGAGAAGTTTGGAGGCTCGTTTCTTAATTGTGTTAAAAAAAGTGGAAAGAGTGCACAAAAATTACTGCACTTGGTAGTTGAGAATTTTCCTTCTTACAGAGATGTGACGAACTTTGCGGTGAGTTGTGTCCGGTAGGGTTTTTAGAATTCTTAACGATGCTTAATAAATAAATGCTTTCCCATCTAGAACTTCTTTAACGGTTAAAACCCAAATATCTGAAGTTAATTCCGTGTGCACAAGAAATAGTAACAAAATTGTTAAGTAGTGTTTCAGAGACTTTTGATTTCTGGTCAGTATCTTTGCTGTAGTTGTTTGTCCTTTTTAATTTTGTACTTTTAAAATCTTCCAAACCTGGCCCTCTTTTATTACCACTTGGGGAAAACTAGGTTCTTCAGAAACTTTCGTTCAGTGGATGATAATCTATTCTGATAAACATACTTTTTTTTTTCTTGCACAGTTCACATATATATGATAGTATATACTTCCTTTTTCATGCTCAATATAATTCACACTATCTGGGTACAAAATAAGGTTGAATTCATGTACTCTGTGTGTGAACATTTTTATTATATTCTCCCAGTGTTTGTGTGTATGTGTGTGAATATTTTTATTATATCCTCACAGTGTGTACCTGGGTTTGTTTCTGTAAAGTTCTTTTAGAATCCTTTATTTGCATTTTTTTTGGTCACAAAAGTAGAGGCAGCTTTACAGGAATTGTTTCTGGGCAGAGACTCAAGACTTGTTTCCAAGCCTCTAGTCGGTACTTGTCCCTCTCATTCCATATAGCTTGCAAGAAAGATTTCAGGTGAGGGACAAAATTCAGGCAAGAGTCAGAGCAAAGGTTTGAACAGAAAGAGTAGGTATATTGAAAAGGGATACTAAAAGACCAGGCAAAATGTAAAGCTGGACCATATGGTCGCTGATGGTGGACTTCTCACCATAGGCTGGCTTACTGGCAGGTTTTCTGCTATTGGCAGGTGCTCTGTTTTGTACCTTCTTCCTTTCAGGTAAGTATATTCTGGCACCCTAGCACCCAGACTTCATGCTGTGGTCTTGTCACAGATACAAAACTCAAGAGTATATTCAGTCATTGTGGTTGTTGTATGAACATCTATTTCCCCCACCCCTCCCCTTCCATTATCTCCAATATCTAGGGTTTCTTCCATTGATAAGGGATGCTGTTTTATTCTGCCCTCCATCTACCTTTGTGCTGCTGGAGGCTACGTGCAGAAGCATGTCTCTACCTCTCTTTTGTGTTTAATATTCCTATGAGTTTCCTTCTCCCCATGGTAGTTTCTGACTAGCTAACAGAATTACATAAATATTTATTGCATAAGCAAATAATATATATCAAATTGAAAATTTATAACCTGTAATTACAAGTCAAAAACAATAACTAAAATTATTATTTTAATTGCTCTTTATGATTTATAGAGCTTTTACACATACAATCTTATTTGATCTGCAGAACAGTTCTGCAGGGCCTACAGCTAGGATCATTGTTTTACTTTTTTTCAGGCCAGGAATAAGTCTGAGATGTTAAAAGTCAGGAAATAAGAAACTTTTCTGTTCTGTGGTTTTTAGACTGTCTTTATAAAATGAGAGATGCTGGAGTATGTATGTTAATTAGGAGTCCTTTTTTTAATATAATTAAGAGTCTTTTAGTTGCAAATGGCAGAAACATAAAATAGAAAAAGTTTAAAAAGAGGACTTTTTGGATGGGCTTGGGGATAGGTTTACCGCCCTTCATGAACATCTAAGACCTGGGACTCTGATGTCATCAGGATTCCATTTTTCATCTTTGCTTATGTAGTGCCACTTTCACTTTGGACAGATTTCTCCATGTGGTAGGAAATACAACTGTCCATGAATTTGTCATCTTATTACTTCAGCCATCAAAGAAGAGACATATTTTCTCAGTTTTGGTTCCAAAAATCCTGGACAGGGATTGATTGAATTAGCATAGGTTATAACCAAATAAGTATGGCTGCAGGGGGTGCATGGAGCACAAGCAGTTCCCAGAAAAGAGGTCCCAAATTACTATTGAATTACATTCTGTTTCTGACCATTTTACTAATGCAAAGGTTATTTTGAGATTTATCTTTTGTCTTTGAAATAAAAGTTATTTCAGAATTGTTTTCAAAGATATTATGGATCAAGTTCTTTGATGTACATCATTTAGACCAAAGGTTCCCAAACTTATTTGGCCTACCACCCCCTACTCAGTGCCCCCTGGCAACTAAAAAGCTTTTGTACTATATTTCATAATCCAGGATAACGTGTAAATACCTGCTATTGTAGCCCCCTGGTTGTTCTAGTGCCCACCCCTCCCCTCCCCCAGGGAGCAGTGTCACTCAATTTGATTTCTCAAATTACTGATTTAGACCAGCTAAAAATATTCAACAGTATTTGAAAGATAATTTATCAAACTGCCATTCATGTGGCTAATAATGCATATATTCCATAATCAGTGGTAGTGGAGGAAAGATTAAACTTAACATGAATTTAGGATGGAGTGAATTTGGAATACCATGTAGTTTACTTTTAAGTTGTCCTGAGGTTTATTTTTAAATATTTTTTAAGAACATAAGTTTGGACAGTGTAAGATATGACAAAATAATAATTTATAAATTATCAAGGGTTCATGAGGGAGAGGAGAGCGGGGAGGAAGGGGGAAAAGTGAGGAGCTGATGCCAGGGGCTTAAGTGGAGAGCAAATGTTTTGAGAATGATGAGGACGATGAATGTACAAATGTGCTTTACACTATTGATATATGTATGGATTGTGATGAGTTGTATGAGCCACCAATAAAATGATTTTAAAGAAAAGTGTTTTTTTTAAGTTATTTTTAAAAAACAGATGATGGTATTGATGTAGCAAACAATTACTGAGATTGTTTTATCTACAGAAAATACTTTTTTTCGTTTGTTTGTTTTTTTGTTTTTTTTTAAATGCTTTTGATTTGATTTGCTTTGTTAAATGTTTTTAAATGCACTAGGATATAGATTATATTTAAAATTGAGCCATTTCACATCAGTACTAATATCTAAGATACATCCTTACAGAAAAATCCCCAAATCTTAACACATTCTTAAAGGAATAATATATGTCAGTCATTTTTCAGTTATGATATTGCTTATTGGTTCAAGTGTGAGGATTTTTGTCTTCTTTCAAGTGTAATCAATCCATACTGAAAGCTGTAGTTTGATCTTCAACAGTAAGTGCTTTAAGTTCTCTTTGCTTTCAGCAGACAAGATTGCTTGTTATTCATTAACCTACCTCCAATTCTGTTGCAGTATACTTCTTTGCTTAGTCCATTTTGTTAGATTATTTCCTCAGCATACAGATTGAGTATGATACAAGTATACAGCCTGATACACAGCATTCTCGTTCTGTTTGCACAGCTGCCCCTTGGTCTATGTACAGGTTCTGGTGAGCACAATTAAGTGGTTTGGAATTTCCATAGTTTGTTGTGATCCATACAGTCATAAGCCTTTGCACACTCAGTATGGTGCAAGTAAACATCTTTTTGGCTTTTCTGCTTTCAGCTAACATGCATGTAGCATTGGCAATAATATCCTTTGTTGTTGTTCTGAATCTGGCTTGAATTTTTGGCAGTTCTCTGTTGATTTAATGCTACAACCACAGCCATGGCTTTAGTGTAATTTTACTTGTGTCTGATGTTAATGATATTGTTTGATAATATCCTCATTCTGTTGGATCACCATTTTTGGAATGGCCGCAAATATGGATCTCTCCATTTAGTTGGCCGAGTAGCAGTCTTCTACCTTTCTTGGCATAGATAAGAGTGTGCTTTCTGTGTTGTATCCATTTGTTGGAATATCTCATTTGGTATTCTGTCAATTCTTGTAGGCTTGTCTTTTTTAAATCATTTTTCTGGGGGCTCGTACAGCTCTTATCACAATGGGTACAGACATCCATTGTGTCAAGCATATTTGTACATATGTTGCCGTCATCATTTTCAAAACATTTTCTTCCTATTTGAGCCCTTGATATCAGCTCCTCATGTTCCCGCTGACCCACCCTCCCTCCCTCTTGATCCCTTGATAATTTGTAAATCCACCCCCACCCTCATAGGCTTGTCTTTTATGGTTGCCTTCAGTGCAGCTTGGATTTCTACCTTTAATACTATTGATTCTTGATCATTTGCTACTTAACTAAAGTGATTGAATGTCAACCAATTCTTTTTGGTACAGTGACTCTGTCTTCCTTTTATTCCTCCCATATTTGGTCATCTGTAAATAGAGATAACTTATTTCTTCTTTTCTAATCTGCATGCCTTTTATTTTTTATTTTTTTGGTTATTGCTAGATAATAAAGGATTGAATAGAAGTGATGAGAACAGACACTTATGTATTGTTTCTGAATTTAACAGGAAAGCTTTCACACTTTCTCCCTTAAATATAATGTTGGTTTTTGGCTTTCCATATATATTCTGAATCATATGGAAAAATATCCCTTCTTTTCCAATCTTTTTTAGGATTTTCATGAAGAAAGGGTGTTGGATGTTAACAAATGTTTTATCTGCTCCCATGGAGATGAACATGTATTTTTTTTTCCTTTGTTCTGTTGATGTGGTATATTACATTGATTGGTTTTCTATTGAATCATCCTTACATTCCTGGAATAAATCCCATTTAGCTACGATGTGTGACTCAGTATACTTCTGGATTCTGTTTGCCAGTGTTTGGTCAAGAATTTATACATGTATAGTTGTAAGAGATATTGGCCTTTCATTTTATTTTTTCTGTGATGCCTTTGTCTGGTTTGGGTAGACTAGATAAATTCTGGTTGTTGATCAATTCTATTTCTGTCACTGACCAAATGTAACTTACTCATTTTCTGACAAGATATAATTTGAGAATTAATGTGATTTTAAAAAATTAATGTGATTATCTCAGAAGTGAGTTTAAGAATGATTTTCTTCCCTATATTCTTCAGTTATTTAATTAAGGGGAATTACTAATGTAGTCAGAAATATATATATATACACACACAAAGAAATACATGTACACACACAACTAAATGTATATATTAGATTTTAGAAACTTTCAAAAGGGGTAACCTATAAAATAAGCTGTTGGATAAAGCTGACACATAGAAATATGCATATGGAGTAATAGTATTGAAAAAGAACAGTAAATAGCAGTACCAGGATTGCATAAATTGCATTTGATATGCCATGAAAAAAATAGGAAGTAAATTTGTGGTAATGTAGGAAATGTGTTTATTAGATCTCTTTTTTTTCCTTTAAAAGGTCTATGAATTATTACTAACAAAGTAAGAAAGATTATTTTACCCTTGAAAATGTTCATATGTGCTTGTTTGCATAACCTGTGTAAAGCTTTCAGCTACCTAGTTTACATTGATATTCTCTTTGTTCATCAGGGGAAACAGATTTCTTTTTATAAGCGGGCCCAGATCCTTGTGGCAGATACCTGGGGTGTGTTAGAAGGAAAAGGAGATGGCTGCTTTCAGGACATCTCCAGTATCACCATGTTTGCTGACTATAGATTACCTCAGGTGCTTGCTCATCTGGGGGCCCTGAGATACTCTGATGAACTACTGAAGAAGCTTCTTAAAGGTTTGCAACTTTAATTCTTTCATATACTGTGAATTGTAGAGTATCTATATAGTTTCGTTAACACAAATTCTCTTTCATGAAAAAAAGCACTATTTATTGCTAAAAGTACAATAAGGAGAAATTGCTGTTTTTGTTATTGTTGTTTAACTGGAATACAATACAAATATTATGGAAAATTGTGCTATTTGGACATTATGATTTCAGATCTTATTAGTAAAGTGAAACCCAAAGTTGCTTTATATGAAGGTGTGCAACACTATGAACAGTTCACCAGGTTTAGTGTTCGCAGTGTTTAGCTGAAGAACACATTACTAAGTGGCTTAAAAAGACAAAAACATATTGTCTCCCACTCCTGGAGGCCAGAAGTCCAAAATCAAGGTGTCAGCAGGACCATTCCCTCTAAAGGTCTCTAGGTCCTTCCTTAGCTTCCTAACTCTGGTACTTGCGGCAATCCTCGAAGGTCTTTGGCGTATAGCTGCATCATCCAGTCTTTGCCTCCATCTTGTCTCCTTTGTGACTTTGTGATCACTCCTCATATAAGGATTCTAGTCATTGGATTTAGGACCCATCTATCTGCAAAGATTTTTTTCCCCCCCAAATCAGGTCACCTTTATAGGTAAGGCAGAGAAGTAAGAGTGGTGGTGGTTAGGATTTGAACCTATCTTTTGGGGAGATGGAACTCAACCCACTGTAATTATCTATGGCTGTGTAACAAATAACTAGGAGCCCTGGTGGTGTAGTGGTTATGTGTTGGACTACAAGGCTAGCAGTTTGAAATCCCCACTGCTCCTCAGGAGGACAAGGCTTTCTATTCCCATAAAGCATTGTGGTCTTGGAAACCCACATTGGCACTTCTGTCCTATTTTATAGGGTTGCTGTGAGTCTTCATCATCTCAATAGCATTGAGTTTGGCTTTTGATATGTATAACAGATTTTGTTAAAATTTAGTGGTTTAAAATAACAAACTTCACAGTTTCAGTAGTCTGGAATATGGGTGCTGCTATCAGCTGTAGTTGCAGTTTCGCCTAATGGCTTGACTTGGGGGTAGTCTGCTCACTCTGAGGTTATTAGCAGACTTTGGTTCCTTACTACCAGGTCCTCTCCATAGATCTGCCTCTTCACAGGGCAGCTGGCTTCCCCGGGGTCTGCGTGATCCAAGATAGAACAAAGATGCAAGAGCACCCCAGACAGAAGCCATCGTCTTTATGTCCTAATTCGGAAGTTACATCCCATCAATTCTGCTAAATTCAATGAGTTAGAAGCAATTCACTTAATCTAGCAGAGAATTATACTATGGGAAGGTGGTGGTATAGATGGTAGCCACATAGAGTTTGATCAAGTATTTCCTTTTGCCTCAAGAATGCTTTACACATAGTTTATCACATAATGCAAAGCTAGGTAGAAACTATAAATGGTGTTAAAACAATAAAGACATGGGATTTTATTTACAATATAATTTTATGAGAAAGGTGCTATAACATTATATATGGTCTTATTACATTTGTCTAACATGAAATCTGCATGTGTCTATAGAAAAAAGAAACATTAAATTTCTCATGATTCTAAAAAAAAAAAGTAATAATAAAACAACACAATTACAAAATGTATTTGGCACTTTGTTAGCATAATACAAAGATATCCTTCAAAGATAAAAAGTGTAAGATAAATAAAACTTTTATTTCAACAACAACAAAAAAGAATGCTTTACACAATTTTGAATTCGTTGTCAACACTAATTAAATTAAGTTGCCAATTATAATTAGTTGAAAATTAGGAGATCTTGCATAAAAATCAAACTTCCTGACTTCTCTTAAAAATCTAGAAATATGAAAACATTAGGTCTCTTTGTAGAAAGGGCAGCACATACTCCAGTTCACTATCGTTTGCATCTGGCTGCTTTATTTATTGTACCAGGAGGCTTCTAAAAGTTCAAAGGAAAGTGGAATGAAAAGATAATGGAATTTTTCCACAAACTTTTGGAAGCCCTTCGTATTGATGCCTAAGTTTAGAAATGGTTTCAGTTACTAAAATTTAAAAATCTGAGGCTTGTGTTTTTCAAATTAGTTCTATTTAAATACTGCATTTTGTTCTGCATTAAGGTTCTCAGAGTTTATATCATTCGGCATTGATATTTCTTGTTCTGATTTTTCCCCTTACCTTGCAGGAGAAATGCTCTCATATGGGGATAAGCAAGAGGTTGAAATCCGAGGATGCTCAATTTGGTGTGTTGAACTGATCAGGGATTATCTTCTGATGCTTATTGAAAAAAAGGGTGCAAAAACTAGCGGAGAGATCAATTCTGTTCTTCTGGATTATTACTTATGGGACTATGCCCGTGATCACAGGGCTGACATGAAAGGAATTCCATTTCATCGCACACGTTGCATTTACTATTGACCCAAAGTGTGACTTGATCAAAGAGATCTCCTCTTCCATTTCTCTGACGTAAAATAATACGGCTTTGCTTTGATATTAGAAGATAATACAGATTACAGGTACAAGTCGATGGATGATCCAGCCCCGCTTAATTTTTTTTTTTTGGTGATATGCCATAGTGTGTTCTGAACTTTATCCTTTGCTTATGTCGTTCTGACTGTATTTCCTCTTCCCATGAATCAGAGTGATAAAATTATAAAGGAATTATACTTTCTTTCACCTTTGAGATCTCAGACTTCCTAAAATTAATCAAGCCTTATAAAATCTGATGAAATCATCATGAGAATAATTTAGCCATTCAATTGGTATTTAAAGAGAGAGAGAGGGTAGGGTTGTGAATATTATAAACACCAATGTTCTTGTAAAATCAACCTTGACAGTGTATTTTAAACTTTTTTTACTGGTAATTATTGTGGGTTTTGTATATGATGACTTTCAATTTTGGATATGGTTGCTGAGAATTTTTCTCAGAATTAAATTCGATTTAAATAAAGATTATCTAAAAATTGTGGTTTGTGGTAAAAGTTTACAGAGCAAATAAATTAGTTTCCCATGCACCAATTTATGTACATTTTATTCATGATATTAGGTGGAATCACATCAATGTAACAGCACTCTTCTTATCTCTTCCCTGGTTTCCTTGTTTCCATTCCAGTGGGAACAGGGAAGAGAGTGTATGAGGACAAACTCTCAACAGGCATACGTTAAGGAGTCTGGGAGGCCAAGGCTCCTTTAGAGGAAACCTTCACGTTCATGAGTTGGAGGTGTGTCCCACTCACTTTGTCCTAATAAAAGTTATTCCCCATGATGCACCCCATGATAATGCCAAATTTAAGATGCTGTTTGCAAACACATGATCACTGACTATACTCTTGGAAGGCAACTGCTTGAAGGCTATCTGCCTGAAGGTTGTCATCAAAGGCATCCAGACCCTGTTGTCTGCCCCACCCTAAGTAGGGCGCACTCCCTTCTGATACCGATCATAGATTTTTCCTCTGCAGAATTGCTCAGACACTTAGCTAAGGTCATAGCAACTCAGCCGACCAAGAGCCCGCCCTTCTTGTTACTTATGTGCCTGCCTGTCAAATTTATGCCTGTTGTACAACCCCTTCCTGTTAACATATGTGCTTACTGTGGCCTGCATGCCAGAGATTATATACACTCTAAGGTCTCACTGCTCAAACCTGGCTCCTGAAGTTATGACAGGAGGTGAGCCCTTGCATGCTTTATGTTGTCTCTTTAATTTATCCCTCAGTTATACAACCACTCCTTGGGTCCATTCTGTTGTGGGGAAGCTGGTCTCCCACACATTCAACCATCTTGTCTGTTCTGTGCTGCCTTCTGACTTTGGGCAAATGCTGCTCTTTTGGTTTCCTGTGGCTGCTTGTTCACTGGTCATATTCTCGGGAATTGCACCAGCCTCAATCAGACCAGTAAATCTGTTTTTTATGATGTTGAATTTTCTTAATCCCCTCCATCCCCCACCCCAACTCGGTCAAAGATATATTTGCAATCCTAATCGGAGTGGTTGGTAGTGATAACCCAGTAACACCTACTTCTGGTCTCAGTCTAGTGAAGGCTGTGGTTTCTGTGTTCCATTTGTTCTTTGGCTAATTGTTTTCTTGTGCAATAAAAGGCAATGGAGATGGACATTCTGGCTTCTCCATTACCACAAGGCAGGGGTTAGACATGCCTCTGTTAGGTTTCTTGAGTGGGAAATACCTTGATTCTTGGCTTCGCACGAGAAAGAATTCACACCGGAGCCAGGTTTGTGATCCAAGTGAGTTTTCATAAAAGGACAGAAGTTTCAGGTTATACAGTCACTGAACACGGGCAACTCATGGGACTACACACCCACACGTGGTGGCCTGAGGCCAGAGAGAGAGATCGCTGCTCTGCCAAGTGAAAGGCGGAGAAGAAACGGAAGGGACTGGCGGTCTCGAGGTCCCAGTATTTGGAGCCTTCAGCTGGAAGGCGTGGTCAAAATTATTGGTTGACCCCATTGGCTGAATTAAGTCCACCTGGCCTAGTTTGGGCCCACTCAGGTGTACCACCGCCCACTTGGCTTGGGGGCCTGAATTGGTGCATGTCCTTTAGACACCCTGTGAGGAACAGAAGGATTTCTCTTAAGTTGTCTCCCCAAAATATATGCCAGACTTAGCTTGAGAATAATTGTTCACTAGGCAGCGAAAGTAGGTCAGAGGTTATTCTCC